ACAATCAAGCATACATCCGCCATCATTCAGTAGAATCACTTGACATCTCGGGTCATCATTCCTCGGTGCATGCTCTCACTCACAATTCAACATCAGGGAACTGCTTCCGGTTGTTTTGGGAGCTCTCCGGATAGATTATTGGATCAACGCGAACTCGACTCGAGATCAGCGGCAATCCCGTTGAAGGCCATACTGATGAGGAAAGCTTCAACCATAAACAATTATTAATATCAACTGATTTTAAAACACTATTCTAACTAATTGTAAGATATTTTCACTAGAGTAAAAATACCAACTGAATTAATACAATGACAATAATGCCATCAAAATGTAATGTTAACAAAAAATAACTTTATCAATATAAATACTACCAAACTACTAACCTTATTCAAACAAATTGAATAATTTCGTGACAACATCCATGATTCTTTCACACGATTCCCGATCGAAACCGGTGACTGTGCTGATTTTTCGGTCAACATAAAGTTTAACAAGAGCACGTAGCACTGAGGTATACGTGATGCTATTTCGATAGCTGGTTGAGGTACCCAACGCCAAAAGTCATACAAATATCGTCTGAAAACAAACGAAAGAAACTCTTCTAATTGCTTTCAGATATTAACACACTGCAACACTCGTATTCCATTCAGAAAAACAAACGTTTTCGAGCACATATCTCAAAAAAACAAAACGAAATGAAAACAATAAAACCACTCAAAATCTTACCTATTCAAAATAGCACAATGCAATAATATAATTGAATATTCATTGGTTTCGCCTAAATTTACCGCCAACGCTTTTGTAGATACCTGTAAATTGAACAGTGCAAACACTAGGTGTATAATAAAGGCAGCAGAGCAATGAAATGAACCAAAACGCCCTCTCTAAAACAACAACAAAGACTTATGTTCTTCCTGTTCACACGTTTGTCTGTATTAACAAGTTTCTTGCCTAATTATGCGATGATGACACCACAATGCGACTATTATTGCTAGTATGTTTCCATCATCAAATGAATCATTTGAATTCGCGAATTGTAAAATCATATCTACCAAGCTTCTAAAAACTAACTCACCACATGCATGGCACTGTAGAATCCCACTAATCGATTCGGTTCTTGCAATGCAATTCCGAACATTGACAAAAAATCCGAACGTTTCAACGACACTCGTTCATCCAACAGCAACACAAAATCACCAACGAAATTGTGCTCACCTGTTCGGCTTAGATTAAAAAACGCTGACTGATCCTGTGAATAAAAGAAGCACATTGAAAGACACAAAAATATGCTCGTCGCAAAAGAATTTCATCAAAACAATTCAATTGAAGGGCAGTCAAAATGCAAATGAAAACAATCACAACCACAACCAAATGAAACACTCACGGAATTCGTCACAAGCACAACGTCTAAATCATTCTCCACTGAAAAATCATTCTGCAATGGTGCGATTCCGCGCGCTGTTGGCCACAGAACAGTGATCTGAACACAAAAATTCGATGAACAGAGGCTGGCGCACACCCTCATAATCAAACTTCAAAGAAATGAACCTTCGTAACAATTTCACTGAGTGTCGACAGCGTTCGCACTAAACGAACTAATCTTCCGGATACTTTATTGGTTGCCAATATGACCACTTCACAATTCTTCGATGACGATAAAGCAGCCTGATTTGTTGGTAACGTACAGGGCGATATCTCTGAGCGTGTCTCTTCCTCCCTGAACACCGAATTCCAGTCACGTCCTTGCACTCCCCATTGTTGCTTTGCTATTCGTTCTTCGATTATCTGCAATAAATCCACTTTTTTTCAAGGCACATATCTTACATGCCGTCATTCTTTTCAAACACACATAAGACATCATTTTGCAAAGCCCTTCCAACACTCTCAAAAGAAGATTCTTTCAGCATTTTTGCGACCATTACAAAACAAATATGATACATTATCACCAACTTGAACGGTTGTGAGTACAATTTTCTCGACACTACTGAAATATCGTTGATAGAGTGCACGTGCTTGTTGCTTCATATAGATTATTTGCACGATTGGAATCGATTGTAGAATATCAGTGATCTGCAATCCGAAACGAAATATTTCTTCAATGACAACCATGAACGCAAAGAACATTAAGTAATAATGCTAAGCAATAGTTTGGAGTGTATTAAATGCACCAATGCAGCTGTATTTATCATCAATTTGTTTGTTTCAGTTTGAGTTCGGATGAATTTTCATAAACAAATCATCCGCATTATAGAAGATGAAAACAACAACGATGAATTACCGTCAGCACAGTGTCCTCGTGTGCTATAACGGTCGCTTGTGACCAATCGATGATCTCCGAGAATGGTAGCTCCCAATCGTCTGAGAGTATCACTGGAATACAGCCGAGACGAAGTGCCTCCAGAAACCGAAACGAACCAAGTCGACGACCTCTGGGCGTCAAACAAAACGTTGAATTGGACATTGTGCTCTCATAATCCCATCTGAAACTCAGTGAGCGCAAATAACTGAGGCTGCTAATCATTTCAAAAAAAAAATCACTAGAATAAAATATATCTAGATTAAACAAAAACATTACCTCAAATATACACTTTGGCGTGAATTCATTCAAACACAGTGAACATCTCAGCACGTTCACGTTCTATATTCTCATAAAACGTCATCCGAAACATTTTATAATATTATTTGCAGCACTGTCAGAATTCGCACTGTTTCACTTTTCATATCAAAAAATATTACCTTTCATACTCGATGTTATCCTCATCACAACGTTCGTCTTCATATTTCTTCCAGTCGGTATTATGCTTGCATGTAGTCACCATAACCACTGATCTGCCATTGTGCAAATGATACAATGCGTCACGAGTTTCTGATCCAATACCATAAACATAACGTTTTCCTTTGAAGCTCACCAAGTACTCATCTTGCAGTTTCAATGACCAAACCGGCTGAAATTAACGATGAAACTTGATCTGCTTACAACATTGTGTATGATCGAGCTGTGCTATCAAATACCAACAAAAATAATAACGATTTTATGGGTAAAAAGCGGTACGAGCATATCTTGCAGAATCACTCAGCGATAAAAATAAAGAACTCATTAAATTACCACAACACTGCAATAATACATCTTCATAATAACATCATGTTATGATGAAATTTTTTTTTGTTTAAAGCATCAACGAAAGAAACAGCACATATACCTCAGATGTTGTACGCAAAGAGTGCTCTTTATGAAATAATGGGAACGAAAGGTCAAAACCCGGACGAAATATCTGCAAAAATGTTACCATTCATACGAGATTGGAATACAGAAATATTAGAGATGAATGAAAATCAAACGAAGATAGCGTAATTTACATGTCAGGACGTCTTTTTTGAGAATGGAAAACTGGGTATCTCAGAAACAGAAAATTGTTTCGGACTTCAACAAATTCTGAGCTGATTGTCAGTGAAATCTTCGAACTTTCGCAAATAAGTTAAGAGATTAAAATTCAAAAATCGTTCGACAAAATATGTAATCGATCTGTATAAAGCATTTGAAACCGAGCGAACCATACATGAAAGAAAAACTGAAACCTGTGTATTCGCACTAGCCCTAGCCACAATCGCGTAACCAACATTGAATCCTAGGTCATGATCGGAATAATCTGGATAGGTTCCATGATACAAATTGAAGACGATATGATTTCGACCGTCGTTCCATATATGCTGAGGCAGTGCTTGGATTTGCTCGTCAACATGCTTCACATAGTTCTCACTGAATTTGAAATAAATTTTGAATACTTCACAAGCCAAAGGCAAAAAATGAAAAACATAGTCTAATCTAAGGCTTGATGAAAAGCATTCTACGTTTGAACAATTACTTCTTATACGAAAAGCTGAATGTAAACGTTTCGAAAATACGAAAAATGAAGAGAAGTTCATCAAATTACTCGGAAAAAAATCTTTTTAAGCTGAAATTCACTCGATCAATGATGTTTCATCAACAGTGATTTCACGAGGACTGCATTATCTTCGGGAATCGTAAGAAAACAAACTTGAAGGAGACGATTACTTCTTTCAACTGACTCAATTTACGAGAAAACTCAAAAGGATGCTCGACTGGAAAAAGAAGGAAGACATCTCAAATCGAAACCTTCGTCTGTCTCGATCGATCGTATCGATGCTCAACACGAATAGGCACGCTTCGTTTGGATCACTCGTATAATAGTTGCTATCCCGTAACACCTTAAAACTCAATTTTCATTCTTGCTCATAATATCGGCAATATAAAAGATGGTTGAAAAATTCAAATGAAAGCGCTCAAAGGTGAGGACTTTAAAACAATTATATGATCGATCAATGACGAACCTTCAAAATATTCGAATATACCACCGAAATTGCCGATTCGTTGTTATTTGGATAAACGTACACTTTGAAAGCGGATTTTGATAAACAAACCGATAGATTGAAACAATTTGACATGGAACATTTTGATGTGCTGAAATTAAAACAATTATAGTCCGAACATCGTCCTTTATCAATAATGACACAGGAAACTGAATTTTTAAAATCAAAACTTCATTCGGAGATGAAAAGATTTCTACCAAATTGTGAAATGAGGGTAATTTTGCCGGAATGAGCGTACTAGTCAAATGAAAGGTGTTCTTGGAGAATAAATTCTGAAGAAATGTTTTGAAAAACGCTAACAGTAAACTTTTACAATTGTGATCATAAAACACTTACGGAACAACGCTTCCTGCTGGTTCATAGTTGATGGCCTCGAGAAACGGTAGTTCATCAAGTGAGATGTAAGAGGGTGCTTCATTGCAACAGTTCAACGAAATAAAAATGGATGAAAGATGCAAATTTCGAAGCAATAGAAAGAGTGCGATTAGGATTAGAATGAATGTTAGCAATAGAAAATATCGAGTTATAGCCTTCATGGCTTCAGTCAGATCATCAAGAGTAAGGCATTAGATTAGCGTAGATTAGAATGTAACCTCTGCAAAAATCTCATTTTGTCAGATGAAAAAATTAATTTTTTTCATTTGTTTTTTGGATATCGCTTCTAAGAAACTCGGTAATTCAGATATGTTATACCAACACTTTGCCAATTCTACGTTACACTCTCAAACATCGCGCGAATATTGGCTATGGGCACTGAATATGTAATGCTCAAGTAGATTATGTAAAAACAATTGAAAATCTTCAGGTGTGACTTCAGATGTCCATTGTGCT